CCTTGCTCTCAGCCCTGCACAGGCCATGGTCTGGGGCTTCTAGCACTATTCTGAGAATTGGGAGGTAAGAATCTTAGACTCAGAGGCTTTCAGTTTGGAAAGCAGAAGCATAAGACAGGGTTATGGTAGAGGTCTATAAAATCATGAGGGGTATGAATCAAGTGAGTAGGGAACTGTTGTTCACCAAATCCGGGAACAATAGAAGTAAGGGACACCTGCTGAAATCAGTAGGTGACAGGTTTACAACTAACAAGGGAAAGTTCCTTTTTATGCAATGTGAAGATAACTTGGAATTCATTGCCACAAGATATGGTGGAGGCAGATAAAACAGCCAGGTTCAAAAAGAGATTGGAGAAATTCATGGATGCTGGATGGCTATTGAACGGAATGGCTGGAGATGTTTCCTCGGGCATCTGTAACCCAAAAAGGCCAGGGAGATTATTGATTTGGGGATAGATCCATCTAAAAATGTCTGGTTCAAAGCTCTCCCTGCATAGCACCCACTTCGAGACCGTCAACGACAGGATGTTGGGATAAACAGACCATTAGTTCAACCCTGCATGAACATGTCATGTTCTCATCCTATGTTGTTAAGTTGGAAGGGATGTCACCATTATCCAAGGTCATCTGGTCAACCGTCTGCATGAATGCATGAATGCTACTTCTTAATCATCCCTGTCTAATTATACTTATCCAGCCTCTGCATCAAAACTGCCAAAGAAGGAGATCCCACTAGGTCTCCAGGCAGTCTATTCCACTTACTTTTGTCTGTGTTGAGCTCATTCTCTTGTTCCTAGTGCAGCCATAACTTTTCCAGCCCCTCCCCATAGCCTCAAATCCCTGTAAAGCCTAGGGGGAGCTAAAGCCTTGCCCACCAATTTCCAGAACAGGTGCCGTAACTAATAGGCCATTAGAGGTGAGTGGCACTTCCACTGCTGCCCTCAGCTGAAACTGGATCACAGTGACCTGAACCAGGCGAGGGATCCAGCTATTTTGTGTCTTCTGCACTGAGTGATGGACAATCACTTTTGGTGACATACAGACTTTGACCATGCAAGTGGGACTAAGCAGAACTAGAGGCAATATAGGACACCTCTCTCAATCTGTTCCCCATCCCCTGTTTCTGTTCTTTTGGAGGACTAGAGACACCCCCATCAGCTGCCCAAATAAAGAGGCAACAAACCAGTCCCTCATTGGTTCTGTTACTGCTCTACCTTCAGAACGGATCTAGACAAAAATGGAAAGTTGCTTACTCATTTCAAGTGGCACTACAGCGGTCCCATAGATGCACATGTTTCATGACTCAAGGTGGCCAAAAGGAGAGAGTGCCCAGGTCATACTGAAAATCAGGTATTCACAACATTGGGTTTATCAAAAATCATGGGACTTAAATAAATTATAACTTTAACAGTCTGTTGTTTTGCTCGCCCAGTCCCAGGCCTAACCTGGGAGACAGCCTCCATCGTGCCTCACCACACCCCTGTCCTCCAGCTCACAATATCCCTGCTGGCTCCTTACTTCTTCCTGCCCTTTTCCTGCATCCATTCCCTGGGTCCTTGGATCCCCTGCTGCTCCATGCTTACACATGCATGAATCACGGTGGTCACCCTTGGTTCGTACAAGGGGAATCTGAGGCAGGAGTCAACTGTGATTTCAGCAGCGTCAATCCATAGTTTCATAGTTTCATAGTTACAGGGTCGGAAGGGACCTAATAGATCTTCTAGCCCGACCCCCCGCCAGGGCGGGAGAACAACCCAAAAACACAAACAAAACCACTCACCCTAAAAACAAAAACGGGACTCAAATGAGTCCAGCCAGGTAAGTATCCAGCCTCTTCTTAAAGATCCCCAGGGTAGGGGCCAGCACCACCTCCCTTGGAAGTTGGTTCCAGCTCCTAGCCGCCCTAACTGTGAAGTAGTTTTTTCGGATGTCCAATCTGTACCTCCTCTCCATCAACTTGTGCCCATTACTCCTTGTTATGCCAGCGGGGGCTAGGGGAAACAGCGTCTCCCCCAAACCCTTCTGGTTCCCCCTAGTGAGTTTATAGACGGTCACCAGGTCCCCCCTCAGCCTTCTCTTGTGGAGGCTGAACAGGTTCAGGTCCCGCAGTCTCTCACTGTAGGGTCTGCCCTGTTGTCCCCGGATCATGCGGGTGGCCCTCCTCTGGACCCTCTCCATGTTGTCCACATCCCTCCTGAAATGGGGCGCACAGAACTGGACACAATACTCCAGCTGCGGCCTGACCAGCGTCGCATAGAGGGGGAGGATCACCTCCCTGGCTCTACTCGAGATGCACCTGTGGATGCACGACAAGGTCCGGTTAGCCCTGCCAACCATGACCTCGCATTGTCGGCCCATGTTCATCTTGGAGTCAATAATGACACCAAGATCCCTTTCCGCCTCCGTGCTCTCAAGTAGGGAGCTCCCCATCTTATAAGTGTGCTGCTGGTTCCTACTACCCAAGTGCAGCACCCTGCACTTGTCCGTATTGAAACGCATCCTGTTCCTGTCTGCCCACCCCTGTAACCTATCCAGATCCTTCTGCAATCTCTCTCTCCCTGCTAGCGTGCTCACCTCCCCCCAAATTTTGGTGTCATCAGCGAATTTAAACAGGTTGCTCTCCACCCCAACA